TTATTATTATTATTATTATTACTGTTATTATTATTATTATTATTACTGTTATTATTATTACTGTTATTGTTATTATTATTACTGTTACTGTTATTATTATTGATATTATTACAATAGTTATTATTGCTATTCTTATTGTTTTTTTATTTTTATTCCAACTGCGTTTGCAGATTATTTCGATTGATTGAAGCGGTGAGCAATGAGTTGGCTGATTCTACGTTAATTGATTGAGCAATCAAAGATAAATTCACATGAGAGGTATTGAATTCAGTGTTCTTTCTTGGTTTTATCATTTGCTGATCAAATGAATTCGTGTTGCGATCTGGTTGACGGATGGATATGTGTGTGGGTGAATGCGTGTATGTGTGTGTTAATGACACACTTTTTGAGATACAAGATTCTCGTCTTGTAATCGTCATATTGCACGCACACTTTTCATTTGGAACAACTCAATTCAAAATTCGAATTATTTGCAACGCGCCAATTAAGTTTTTCCTATTATTCACATTCATCTTTCATGCAACTATCATCCCAAATTCATGACTCATTCCATTTTCATTGCTTTGTTCGACCAGTCAATAATTCGATTCATCTCGGTATTATACATCAAATCTAACTTGATTTTTTGAAAAAATTATACACATTAATATTATTCGTTGTGTCATTATTGTACCTGATGGCACTATTATTTCTAGTGAAATTAATCTTGGTAGTAATATTATCCATATTATTAGCACTGTTATCATTAGTTTTGATATTATTATTGCTATTATTATTATTATTATTATTATTATTATTATCATTATCATTATTATTACTATTATTATTACTACTATTATCATTGTCACCATTACCACTACTACCATTACTGTGATTGATATTGCTGCAATTAGCATGAGAATTACAATAATTATTGATCTATCTGCAGTTATTGTTGCTTATGAATTCTTCTTCAGCAAAGAGTTACGAAAAGACTTTAAATCGCTGTAACATTTCTACAGGTGTGTTGAGCGAAACTGACTGAAGAAATTTAATAATTGGTACTGATAATCTCCGTGTGTGTCTGTCCATTCAACAGATTTATTCTCAACCATCATCATTCACATGCAATTAGCTGTGCTAAAGTGCTTAATTTGAAGAGGAAAAAACAAGTTCAATAATCGTACAACAGCAGCAATAAAAACAACAGCAATAACAATAATAAATAATAATAATAACAATAATAATTGATAATAGCACCAAAAAAACGTGTTCGTATTTCAATCTGATCATATAAATCACACACTCAACTATAAAATCACATCTGAACAATGTGCCATTTAATCCTCTCATTTATTTCCATTAAACACAGCGCTTACTCTACTCATCCGTGCAACAAATCTTTCATTCATTTATAAAACTCCACTCAGAATATTGTTATTCTTTTTGTGATGCACAAATATTCTCAACGCTCGATTATTCATCGTACGACCAATATTATCATCCTCATTTATCCTATATAAGTACATAAACGTATAATATTTCCGGTCGCCAATTCTTCATTATGCTATTTTGTTTGGTTCACTGACTGTCGTTTAGAGCTTTATTTGCTGAATTGTGTAACATTTTTTCTCATCCTCCACTGATTTGATCGTTAGTCGTAAATGCGCTTCTTGAAATTAATTCTTTTGTTTTTCGTCTTCTGTTCACCTGTTGTCGTTTACCGTTGCATTTATGATGAATTTGTTTTTAGATTTGTTAGACTGCAACAACGAACAATATTATATCTGAAGTGCAAACCATCAACAATAATATGCAAAACCATAACGATAATGATAAAGAATCTCCATCAAGTTTGCCTATCAAAAACTCAATCGCAACCATCCGCAATTGTGTTACGTCAACGATTTTTGTTTCACTATCAGTTCTCTCAGTTCGATCGCTTCGCCTTGTTGTTCATTCACTAAACGTACGTATTTGCATAAGCATGTTTCCAAATGTTGCTCAACACTTTCATTATCACACTTCTAACAACCTCTCTGGCTAAATCATCTTTAAAGTGATCAGTTTATTTCAACCGATTAATTCAACCACTAATGTTCTCTTTCACTGCTACTGTTATTCACTATTGCTGCAGCAAAATACAAGAATAAATTTTGTCATAAAAGTGAACTCTAGTCATACATCATCAACATCATCCACTGATATCCTTCAATAATCATCCAGCCAAAGTTGCTCAGTAGCAAGAACAGCTAGCATGATTTATACGAATACATCTTATTTATAGTTGATATATTTTGGCGCATCGATGATGTTAATCGTATACATTTTCTATGAAATTTACTGGAAACGACGACGTTTACCGCCTGGTCCAACACCGTGGTTGCTGGCCGGAAATATACCGCATTTTTTATGCTATCAATCTATTGACGATATGTTTCTTGCATGGAAACAAAAATACGGTAACAACAAATTGCATACGAATAAAACTAATTCATTCATTTATTGAACTATTCGTTCGCTTTTTTCTTTCTTTGAAAACTCTTTCATGAATGATCACTAAAAGCACATAAAATAGCATCAGATGGAAATTGGTAGATGCAAAGAAAGATTTAAAGAGTGAAGCAAACATTAAAGTTGAATCAGTACTCCTTTGAGTTTACAGCAAATATCGATCGACGTCACATTTCGTTGTGATGGCATTTCCGGATTGTTCGTTTAGTCTGAAGTTAGCGAAATATTAATGAACAACAGGAAGTGTATATGTGATAAAAGAGCATCAAAGTAATTAATGAACACAAGAAACTACTCGCACAACCTACGTGCAGTGCTAACTAAATAAGCCTGAAATAGTTTATAAATGCGCTGCAAGTGAGAAATATGCAGTGCTGATGTGAGGTGCTTGCTCGGTGAAAGCAGTCAATGGTTGAATGGAATAATTTTCGCAAATTTTAGGCGCTATAATGACATTTTGGGTTGGTCCAATTCCACTGGTTATGGTGAGTGATGCAACGATGATGAAAAAATACTTTGTTCGTAATGCGGATATTTTCAGCAATCGTTGGCGCAATTACATCACTGACACATTTATGGGTGATCGATTAAATGATTGATTATTCCGATTCGTTTCCAGCCAATCAGTCGTTCCCATCGTAATGCATATCAATTAAATTAGTAACTGAATAATTCAGTTCAATGTCAATAAACGAATGAGTATCATGCAAAATATACTCTTTTGGAGAATACATGTGTGTTTGATGGATTGAGCTTTATGCATCTACAAAGTGCGGCAGATGTTGAATTGTTGAAGCTCGTTGAGGTGGTGTGAACGGGGTCGTACAAATAGATGGTGATAAGTGGCGTGAGCAACGACGTTTCTCGTTGCATGTTTTACGTGATTTTGGCTTGGGTCGTGCGTTGATGGAGCAGAAGATTCAGTGCGAAGTGACACATTTCGTTGAATTCATCGAGCAGCAGCACCTTAAGCATCAACAAATTGACATTTGCCAGGCGACAGCAGTGTGTGTTGGAAACATTATCAATAACATCTTGTTTGGGCATCGATTTGCACAGGTCAGCTGCTCTAGTTCAATAATAGCAACCAAAGTAATATCAAGAGAAGCACATGAAAAGTATGAAATAGTTGCCGATGATCATGTGTAAGCGAGTAGAACAAATGGTGAGTATTGCCATGCTTTACTGCTGTAAGTAACAAAGGACTGTACGGTACTTGAAAGGTGCATTTGCCATTGGTGTACAATTCGAGTTATACTCATTACGTTATGTTCAGTTCACGTTTTGGTCAGGAGTCGGCTTGATTACGGCTTAATGATAATGGCTGTTCGATCATTAATAATGATAACAACTTCACATTCAATTTAACACAATCAAATTCAGAAACCAATTAATTATTTGCAGGGCAGTGAGGAATTCCATAAATTACATTCGTTGTTAGATGAGCAATCGCGTTTAGTTATCAATCCTATGATGGGCGCTTATATTGTTGCACCCATACTCACCCGAATACCATTCTTGAACAAAAAATGGAAACATCTTCTAAGAATTCGTCAACAGCTATGGAGTTATCTGGATGTTAATATTGAAGTGCAATTTCATTATCATTTTATTGTTTCTTTTCTCTTCTTCTTCCTCTTATTATTATTATTATTATTATTATTATTATTATTATTATCTTTATCATTATTATCATTAATGCAATTGTTATGAACAGTTTTCATCAATGTTAATGCAACTATACTTAAAAAATTCGCGTAGGCTAATGCGTAATCATGAATTTATCAGATGCTGAGTATTTTTCGAGTAGATTGACGACCGTTATCGCCAAGACAATTCCATGATTAACAGCTGACGATCAAACAAGCAAATAATAGATATTTGCTTATTTTGTAGGAACACAAAATTAAATTCGATCCTGATGTGGAACCTACAGATTTTACGTTTTCATATATGAAGGAGATGCATCGACGCAAAGTTAATGGAGACCACCCGGGCTTTTTTGAGTGAGGAAACCTCGAGAATTTATTTATCATTCGAACACATTCCTTGTTTATTCAATCGTTCATTTGTGAACAATTTTTTGTGTTGAAATTGCATGGATTGTGAGTGTGGAAGAAAGTATTTTGTTGAAGCAGAAAGAAGTGTTGATAAGGCGAGAATCTCCATTTATTCGCCTTCTTTTCGCAACTCATTCCTTTTCCAGCACGTTTGAACCTCTTTAATTGACCATTTGACTGCATAAAAAACATTTTCTATTGTTTGCGTATAGTTTCATCAACTCATAATGTTCAGTTGATGCATGCTATCGACTGTGCATCTAAACTCTGAAAATCTACATATTTGAATAAACTCACCTTAAGTGAATATCTATGTGACTGCTGTTGATTTCGTGAATCTTTAAGTTCGATAAGATTCCATGTTTAGTGAATGGCAGATGAAAATGCTCTTGTTGGACTTATTCTTTGCCGGTATGGAGACAACAGTTACAACAATGAAGTGGGGCTTTTTGATGGTGCTTATTCATCCGGAAGTACAGACAAAAATTCAAGAGGAACTTGATGAATGTGATGATGAGATCATTAAATTATCAGATCGTAACAGATGTCCTTATACGATGGCAACACTGAATGTATGTTTAACTCTTTTCTAACCCTCTTCTTAATTCGATACAATTCCTTCCAAATGCCAGATTTCATTCACTAGATCTGGAAATATTCGTTAAGATATTTAATGCTATGCTCTTTCTTTGCAATAATCAATTGTTAAATTTGGAAAATGAAAGCAGATAATGTTTTTAATTATGATAACACACCAGTGATATTGTATTTATTATGTGATTTGATGATTGTGTTTGAAAGGAAATCCAACGTATTGCGAACATTTTACCGATCAATCTTCTGAGGACTGTGGCCGAAGATAAGTTGATGGACGATGGTTATTTCTATCCGGCCGGTACGTTGTGCATTCCACAGATCTCGATTGCGATGAATGATCCAGAAAACTTTACAAACCCGCAAACGTTTTGTCCAGAACGTTTTCTCGAAAATGATGGTGAAACACTGAAACGGTGAGTGGCAAGCGAAATTCCTATTTTTATTAGATTTTTGTCGCAGATGTTTCTTGAAATCAAACCAGATGAATAGTATCATTTATTACACTTTTTATGCCAATACTACATTATTTAACTCTGATATAATTTTCTCTCACAAGATATAATTTGTCAGCTATCTGCTAGTTCCTTTTTCAGTTACGATGCGTTTATGCCATTCTCGATTGGTAAACGTCAATGCTTAGGTGAATCGTTGGCACGTGCCGAACTATTTTTGATTTTTGCGAATGCTCTTCACAATTTTCGTTTTCGTAGTGCCGTGGTGCCCTCCAATTCAGCGTCGAGTAACTCCTCCTCGAGCACTCAAACTTCATCGTCAAATTCTCAGCAGCCATCAACGAAACGACTTCTCGGTCTAACCGTCTCACCACCGTCCTATAAATGCGTCGTTGAACGACGACAGCGACGGTCATCCCACAAGCATTAGCGTCAGCACTTCCTTAACATAATCCTCAGTTAACGATCGTGAAAAAATCAACTGATGGTGATTAATAATGAATGTAATCGAATAAATTGCAAAAACTTTTCACTATTGTGCTGAATAATTATATTATATTGTTATATATTATTATTTATTATGATTGTTTTCTGCAATGAAAACTTTCACAAATAGAACCAAAGAAGCTCAGCGCTTATTCTTGTTAATGTCAACACGAATTTATGATGTATATGATATGATACATCCTATGTGGTGCAAGTGTATAATTTGGCATGAAAAAGCTTATAAATAAATGGTTGTGTCACTGATGACTGCTTTAAGCGATGATCACTTGCATATTCATTCGAATTTTACACGAGAACTTGTGCGACTCTCATAAGTTGCATTGAAGTTTTGATCTATTCAGTCTGAAAAAAAACGATTATTCTTGAGTAAGGCTTTGAAAAGCTTATCAAGAATAGCGACAAAAAATGTAACTGGTACAATAAATCGTTAATTCCAGAGTTTTTTTTTTGGAGCAACTATGAGTTTCCTCTTACGTAATTTCCATCAATTTTCCCTCTACGGTAAGTTTTTCGAAACCTTTCACATATTACCTCACAATCAGTGTGTCTCGCAAGTTTTCATGTAGTCACCAGCGACGGATTTGACATGCCATCATAGCTGTGATCAAGCAATTCAATAATTTACTTTCTTGTGATAAAATGGTCGATTTTTCCTCTCAAATCGATTATTACAAATTGATCCACATAAATCTGGCTTATCCTATTGTAAGAATTTACGAAGATTCTGTTCATTTTCGAAACTTGGTTGCATCTGCGACACTGCGTTTTCCTTCAACGAGCGACGTTGAAAAGATAAAAATGATTCTTGCGTTGCTAGTAGATTAAAAATTGTTTATTCTTGTCTATAAGAAATGCACTGGCGCATGTCAAACAGGTAAAATGATCTTGTGTGAGAGGAATGAGCGTTGTATGGTGTAAAAAGAATGAGCGGTGCGATGTGTGATGATGCCAGTAATATAACAGTTATGATATGCTTTAAAAGGTTACCGAAATGAGCAGTTAGTTGATTGTTGGCAAAAGGCTTAAAGTATCGCTAGCTATCTATTCATTTTTATCTCATCTTATCCGTTTTCCTGAATCCACTTGTTTAGAGGCCGCTTCCCTGACTGCCTGGAGTAAAGAATAGAGTGATCACTGCAAAAAATTGTTTTGTAATTATTGATGAGTTGAATAGTAGGTGTATATAGTGGCACTAGGTGTATTGGTTATCATATAACATGCTTTTAAGCTAGTTAAACCTACTGCTATTGCTGTATGGATGGATGCGTAAATACAGTCTTACATGAATAGAGATACGTATGTTTGTGGATGAGATGTTATTGGGGATATTTTGTGAAAATGATCGAGTGGTGAACAGAAAGGCAAGCAGCCAGGCAAGCAGGCATCTTCTGTCTGTGTACATCTTCTATCCATTCGTAAGTTCGTTTTGTTCGAAATGTAGAGGATAGAAGATATATAGATGATAGATATGTGTCAATCAAGCCGCAATCAAAAAGAATTACAACGTTATCCATCCATTCCTACTAAAACTTTTACAATCGCGCTTATAAATAAATAACTCCTTATCATCGCAAAGCTATATTACATTTATGTACGGCAAATCTGCTCTAAGTTGCGCTCTACAAATATGTACCTAAAAACATTTATTTATTATCAATTCGTTCAGTTCTCTTACAACAGATTTTATGATATCACATCGAGAATCATTCATTTCAGTTGAAGTTTCTTTTCAAATCAATTGTTTTGATATGGTACTAACAATCTCCTAATGTCATGACGAACCAAACGAAACTGACTTCACAAGTTGTCATCATTGCAAAATGCCATCGAAAAACAGCACAATAGAAAAACTCAGTTTCCTTCCATGTTTTGGCAAAAGAGATGTAGTATGGATGGTATTCTAAAGAGAGGAGATTACTTGATGAATGAGACACTCAGTTTGTCGATGTTTCACTTTGATTTGACTGAACGAAGTAAAAATTGAAGCAAATAATGATGATTATTCACCTCAATTTGATTGGTTGGCCATTTCTTAGGTGATAAATCATGTAGCGAAGAGAGGTTACTATCTACAGCTAAATAGATAGATGAACAGCTAGTTTTCAACAAAGATGAACAACTTCTTACCGAGAAGAAGCAATGGTGAAGAACTGTTAATAGTCTCAAATGAGAAATTGAAAGATTAAAGGAAAACTGCTATAACGAAAATGAGGAATAAGAGAGCACTTGAAAGATCGAAATCTTCAAGACTATGAAGTAAATATGTAACTGGGTTGAGTCACCTTCAACTTCGGTTATTCCCATCGTGTTGCTACTGTCTTGAACAGTGATTAGCTTCAATTCTAACAAAAATTATGAATGCTGATATAGTTGATTGGGTATGTTTGTGGATTAGGTCAGTGATGAATGTTTCACGCAAATAAAAACGAGTTAAATGTAAAATAGCAATTGAAAACGTTTCTTTGTTAGAATTAGGCGAAAGGTTTCCTCAGAGAAATTATTACAGAAAGATGGATAATGAAAGGCTTATGAGTTGTGTACCTATAACAGCAACAGAAACAGTGATGCAGTTAACTAATCGGTAAGTATTACACTAACTAACAATAAGAAACGAATGGATGCCAGCGAACTCATTGAAGATTCGCTTATGTTTGTCACTCGTTTACAGTAATATTATGAACTGATGACATTTGGTGGATAGAACTAGAGAAGTAAGCTGCTTTATAATGGCTCGTCCAGCTGAGCGCTTTCACCTAATTGGTGACTGTACCATCTTAATCAGACATGCTTGCTGTTGTGGACGTAATTTTGTGATTGGACTGCTGTTGTTGGCTAATATTTTACAATGTTTCAGTGTTAGATTTGTTGCGGTGCAAAGAGACAGTGCTAAAAGCAATCGAAAATCGCTTATTGCATTGATTTGAAGCGATTCGAAAGGATGGTCATCATGAATAGATACAACTGCTTAAAATAACATTTTATCACGGCTTCATCACCGAAATTACAGCCACTTCAACAATCATTTTTGATGTCACGAATGAAATTGTGTATTAGCGCTGAAATAAACACTTTTCGAGCATTGATATTAATAATCATAATAATGATAATAGTAATACCGACAATAGCAATAATAATAGTAATAGTGATACTTTGAGTGACCAAAGTAATACGTACAAAAGTGATTTAAAAAAGTAATACGTACAAAAGTCATTTAGCTTCAGCCGCACAAGTGCGCCGATACTGGTGATGGTACGTATATGTGGCTGACTAATGCACTCAGTTTTTTGGTCGATTATTTCTTAAGGATTAAGGTAATGCATATCTTAAGGGTCATCTCATTCTTTAAAAATTAATCCGTCAAGAAACTCAGTTACATATACATGTCATCTTCAATATCATGCGGCTGAAGCTAACGCATTTCGTCGAAACGTTCAGCAAAAATCGCATTTTTACGCATTACTTTGGTCATTTAAGGTACCATTGTTACTTTCACTATTACTATTACTATTATCAACGATATTTTTATTAGTTCTATTTCTGTTCTATTCTTATGATTACTATTACTATCATCGTTGTTTCTGATGTATTAACTGAGAAAAAGAAGGTACACAAACTAGATGGGACATTTCCGGGACATGATTGGACAGATGCACGGCATTTGTATGCACGATGGGCCTGCCTGGCTAACGGCACTTGTTCACTTTTGCATCGTATTTGTAGAAAACTGATAAACATTTCTTCACATCTAAATTGTGGGTACGTGATTTTTACTGCGGTACTTTGGCTTTTTAGGTAACACATTTGCACAGCATCTTCGGAGTAATAATCTTTCCGTGTTCATGAGCACCCATCACTGACTGAAGAAGTTTCATTTACGGATTGTTTGCAAATGCGTTGTCTTCGTTCGTCACAAGAGAAGTGCAGTTTGTTGCTGTAAAATTGCTTGATTTTGCACGTTCTTTACGTTCAACCTCATGAAGTGTCGAAATCCTGATAGCATATCGTCTTGCTCTCCCGTTCCCCCTTCCCCCCCCCCCCCCCCCCCACTCAGAAGTGTGGCACATGAAGCAACTGATACTTGAAAGTTACATTTTGACAACATATTCGATAATCTCGAGTATCGTATGTCATCGTAAGAGCAACAGTAGCAAATATGTTTTTGTTTTGACCACTACACGTATGTGTATGCGTTAAATTTTCAGTCGGTGATATCACTTGCGTAACTGCTTGAATTGCTGTTGTGCTTTAGCTGACACTTTAATTTCTTTGAAAGAAATTTCAAAGGAATTAGGAGTTCTGTTGCGAATGAAGTCAACTCTCAATATATTTACTGCAAACGAAAGATGTCATGCTACTTTTCGCTTTGTTCGCTTTACAAATTTCTTGTTCTCCTCTTCAATCTCAGTTGAACGGGGTCACTTTCAATCTCAGAACGAATCGCACTTCTGAAATTTTTGACTTTGTTGTTTCATTCATCACTGACTAGCAATGATATAAAACGTAGTTATTACAGAATCTGATAAGTGCTTAATTTAGTGATTACTCGATGATTGAGACGCATTTTAAGCTGAAGTCAGTGGTGGAAATTTTGATATTCATACTTATATTAGGACATATCTTTTGGTTGCTAATAGTTTATTGGTGGAATTCGAAGGATATGGTGACCATAAAAAAGCATAAGGCTGAATGGAACAATATTCTAAAGTTGCATGGCTAACACTTCAGACCAATAGGACTTATAATAAAGCACTAGTAGGAGTGAAGCAGCAGTTATAATTTTAAGATAACCAAGAAGTTTGGTAAGATGAATTTCTGTGAGCGAAGAAGATTCTGATATTAGGGAGGTGAATATTTAGTGGTTCTGGGTGATGATGTTGTGAATGAGAGTACACTGGAATATCAAAATTCTTATATGACGATCATATGCAATAATTGTTTTTACGCCAATAAATGTGTAAAATTGAGGCGATCGATCTGCTTGTTAATGATGATAAGCATAATGATGAAATTGATAATAATGATCGGTTTACTTGAGAACAGAGAGATGGGATGAACGAGTGATGAAGAAGTGGAGGAAAGAGGGCTGGCTGAATTGAGGAATTGTAGAATTTGGGTGATAAGACAGCAGGGAGGGAGGGACCAAAGGATGAAGTTCTAAAGCAAGCGCGACTGAAACGTATTCGTGAACCTATCAATCCATCTATTTATCTACGGCAATTCGGATAGCACATAAAGATCTATCTTTAATGCTCTATGCAATCACTTCTTGTTTAGCACGCTAAACGTCTAAATAATCATCTCAGCCAGTAATAAGTAAACTAAGTCCGTAGTAATAGCAGCAGCAGCGGCAACAGAACTATCATATACCGTAGAGTTAAAGCAAGCGTTATTGCCACTAGCAGCAACAGTTGGTGTGCTCACCGGCGAGTCAGTTGGCCGACGTTTTTCTTTGGTGACGGGCGCAGCTGACGACCTACAATTCATCCATCTATCCATCCATCCATCCGCTTATCCGTCCATCCATCCATCCATCCATCCTTCTGTATTAAGACTTGTTCATCCTGTTATTGAAAAGAAGAATTTTGTGCTATTTCTTCTGTTCTGAATTTCATTTTAGAACAACTAAAATAATAATAGCAATTATAATAGGAAGGTAAGATATGAAGGAAGGAAGGTAGGATAATAGGAAGGTACGGTTATAATAGCAACATATATCAGCTGCCTGCAAATATCTATATTGAGCAGTTTATGAAACAGTTGTTGATTATACTTGTTTCTTTTATATTAATTTATATTTGACAGTTTAATTTATATGCATTTATTTAGTTGCGTTCATTCAATAATAATAAATGATAGCATAAATAGCACTAATCAAAAATTGTATATTACTCACTCTGATGATGGCAATGGTGATAATCACAATCATAATATTATCATCAAGCTCGTCATAGAATACTAAAGTCTTTGATATCGACGAGCGTTCATGATGCTCACAACACCACCAGTTGTCATTCTGCTTCCATTACTAGCTCCTCAAATCTCTATCCATTCTCATAACAATTAGACTCATAAGCAGCACATACGTACACACTTTGTAACCTTATGTCATAAATTGCTACCTTTCTTCTTCAGTTTTCGCATATCATTTATACTGACCGAAAAATAAAGCATGAATACAACCTAGAATGCATGTTTAAATCCTTCCCACCAGTCAAACTCATCATCACCGCTCAGGTACCTGATTGCTGTCACTTCCACTAGCATCATCCTCATTTCACTTGTTTGATACGATCGGCGTTTTGTTAGCCATTTGTTAGTGTTGCCAACCTTTGTGTGTTCATAGCGAGTCGTCTTCAATATTTGATTTCGATTGAACACTTAAATCTGAGTTGAGTTGCTGAAGCACTTTCCATTGTGTGTAAAAGGAGGTGATGGAGAGTGAAGAAGCATGGTGAATATGCATAGATATATTATACTCATTATTTATGTTAGCATTAACAGCGAAGTTATAAGTACTATTTGAATTTTGTGATTAACAGTACGGTTCTGATTAAGCACATTGGCTCTGTTTTTTACTTCTCACCGATCATAGAATGATTTCACTGTGATACTTGAAGTTGAATACTTCTAGTATTACTGAATGCACAAACCTCAATCAGCTATCGACAAGCATCGAGTGATATCATGATCTAACTTCAACTGAATATGTATTTATTTAGTGATTGCTACTAATATACTTATCGATATCATTATCAACACCAATCAGATATCAAACTATTATAACCATAAATTCTGGTCCAATTCAGGGTCACTGGCTACAGTGCTTCAGTTTTGTTCTTCGCAATATGTGAATAATGCATTATCAACGACAATTTCGTCCGATCTCTTTTTTCTTGTTGTTCTTGATCGTTGCTGAGCATATAAAGATAAATTTGTTGTGTAGCATTATGCTGAAAATTTTCTCATTTCGGGCATCAGAAGGAATCTAAATCCAGTGTGTGCAGTTCAACTTAAGAATTTCAGTATATTCAATGCATATTCTCATGAAAGTGTTATGAATGAGTGTCTGAACTAGTTTATTAAAATTTGAGTACATGTTGATTGCATATCCCAACTCTGTTTGCTCTACATTTGCTTGCGGCTTACCGAGGAAAATTATTTGAAGGAAAAATAGTTAGCTGGAGAGTTGCTGTTTTGTGTGACGCATCGAGAACTTTTCTGAAATGCATGGAGACGATTGCATATAGAATATTCTAACAATTGTTTTTTCGGTGCTATTTAGAGGTATTCAAAGACTTCAAAAGCAAAGAAAAACCGGCAAGATTAATTTCAGTGCAACAATGAATCCAGACGGGTGTCAATATGATCCATTGTATGGCTATACGCAGCCTCAAACAAGGCTTACCACCGCTCCAGATATCACCACTTTGACACCGTTCGCCCCACAACCAGCTCCACTTGGTGACTATTCATCAACACATGCACTTTCCACCTATGATCCCTACAGGTATTCATGCTAATGTTGTTTTCATTGAAGTTCGTTGCTTGTATTCGTATTTTCCGTTTTTTGGCTTTCTTCTTCTTTTTGCAGTTCATTTTCGTTTATTCCTTTTGTCATTCCCATCAATCAATGATTGAATTGATCGATTTGAGGGGTAGTTTCAAAATCAATTTCATTTGTCTTATAGTTAGCATTACCACAAATTTCTATGCTGATCAGAATGCGCGTTGTTTTGGTGCATATTCAACAACCTTTTGCTTTTTGAAACATCTTCATTAAGTCCGAACGTGAAAAGTTAACCGGAATACTTGCGTTGTTGTGAGTTATTGTATTGCAGTAGCTTTCGCATTTACTCTATTGTTCGTAGAGTTATTTTGTTGATATTGATACTAACATTAGCTATGCTATTCACATATCATTGCCATCAGCAATAGTCTGATAAGGAAGTTAGATGAGCTTCTACTGAAGTAAATTGCTGCAGCAGTTGTTGATCAGTGAAACTTTATACACACGCAATTCGTTCGCTTTTGGGTGGCCGATTACAAAGAAAATGCCGAGCGGCTTTAGTTAAGCTATCTAAATGAACCAACAGGATAGTTCTCATTGGTTCATCTTCTCATCCAATCATTCGCTTCGGCTTTTCTGTTCATTCTTCATATCGTTCATCAAAATTTCAGCCTTGATGAAACAGTGCTGTTTTTTCATCATCAGTATGAATATTAATATGGTCATTATTATTACTGTCTTGCATTATTGTCATTCTTATCACCTTGTTTTATCATCGCTGTTATTTTTGTTATTATGATGATGATAATAATCTTCTGAGTAATTGCTGCGTGAAATAAAAAGGCGGTGAATGCGCTTCGAGTAATACGAAACTTAAGTTTTGTGGTAGTACTTTGGATTACATTTGCTTTTTGCCAATGCCAGTCGTCGCTCTATGAAAATTGATGAAATGTATGAATAATGAACAACAACAACACTCTTGCAATGTGTTTAACTGAAGTTGCAGGTATCCGTCCTATTATCCGTCGTATGGACCCGCAACTGGTTCAGCCGCTGCAGCATCGTTCTATTCAGCCGATTTAACGTCCTTTTCAGTACCTCGAAGTAATGCGGACTTTACGACAGCAGCCACCAAGAATACCCGAACCGATTTGAGCATTTTGAAAGATAATGATATTAAGCAAGAAAGAGGCGATCTCAAAGATCAAAGTAAGTTCAATTATCATTCAATGCCTAATTATTTGTCGCTCTCATTCTTTCAGTATTCGATGTTTCTTCTTTCCCATCATTATATCTATACCGTATCCATTCCTCTGATGAATCCTTTCCAAGTCATTGATTCAAATTGTTTTGATAAGATCATTTGCTGATTCCATCATAATCCTTCACATATACCGCAAAAATCTTCATTGATTTCACAGTTATCATCTTCATTATTATTTGCTGTTTTCATTGAGAAACAAAGCAATAATTCGCTTTGCACTAAATAAGTGAACGAATGTATGAAGATGTGCATACGTACGTATATAAATGGCTCAGAAACTTCGAATTGTATATTTGCGAAGGAGTGCATAAGCTATTTGTCTGTGTATCAGTTAGCGGATTGTTTATAAGTGCGTTAATCCGGGTGATGAGTGGGATTTAAGAGTAATATTGATCGTATTCGGTTAGCTTCATGCAAGAAGAATGAAATTTTATGATTGATTTATCAACATACTATTATCTGGTAAGAAAAAAGAAGAAGAATAAAATGAGAGAGAATTAGTAGCATCTGTTTGGAAGAGGTGAATCCAATTAATTTGCTCATTTTCTCGGTTCATATATCGGCTACAGTGTGCGCAAGCCAAAATCATGAAACCTAAGCGTATACCACTGCGAACAAATAAATCAGAACTTGTTATCAACTCAAATTTGCGTGCATCTTCATCACTTTATGTAAACACCTATTCGTAAATATGATTAGATATCTGTCTGTTTTATGATGTATTGCGTTGGAAGTCGGTAAGATTGAGACAAAAACTTCTAGTGGATATCATTTGCACTGGGTTAGTGGCAGTAACCGAACACAAAATTCACTGAATTTGATTGAATCCGTTTGCGCTATTCCGAAATTCATTTGTGCCGAAAAAGCTTCGAATTTGTCATTTAAAAGCCGATAAGATCAACTTGTCGCAATTTCAAACATCCGAAAACCAGAAATTATCAAGAAGATTTGGTTGTTTCCAAAAGATGGAAAATTTTGATGACATTAAACAGATAACTGGTTGAAAGCAATGATTTGTTTCTGTTTTCATTTGAACGTTCACTTCGTTTACCTGCTTTGAGGTAATACCAAAAGCAACAGATTTTCATCATCGAAAATATTCTCATGATTTAATCGAATCACTAATGAATTCAGCCTTTATTCGTTTACTTACTCATCACTTTGTTTTCATTTCAGCAGTTGAGCTCATAACTGCACCGGGTGGCTCATCAAGCGATTTACAAGAAACACACACCGAACTAATTTCACAAACAACCGCCGATGGAGGTCAGCAAAGTGGTGTTGGCACACAACAGCAGCAGCAGCAGCAGCAGTCCAACGAAGTTGGGACGCCACCTCGAAGACGTTAGTTCCAATGAATTTTTTATTCATCATCTCCATCTTTCATGTTGTCATCACATTGCTCCAATTCATCGCATTTAAAATGTAACAAAAGAAATTTCATTCGACGATGTTTAAAAGCGTGATTGTGCGCTATTAAAATCGAGAAATGGAACTCGTAATAAGCAAAAAAATGATAAGAATAATTTTAATAGATATTGACTCATGTGATAAGTTATCATGAAACGTAATCGCCGTGTATTGTGAATGAAGCTTTTGGTTTAGTGGATAGGCGAAAGGCGGCCACAATGCGTGAGAGAAGACGATTACGTAAAGTGAATGAGGCATTCGAAGTGGTCAAGCAGCGAACATGTCCAAATCCAAATCAAAGGCTACCAAAGGTTTTGCTTAACTTGTTTACCTGTTGTTTGCTAATTTCTGGAATTCAGATTTCGTTTATCTGTTCAGTTTTTTTCGAAATGATTGCAAAGAATAATTCATTTATTATTCATTCATTGCTCATTTTGTTGAATTCAGGTGGAAATTCTTCGTAGCGCCATTGAATATATAACAAAATTGGAGACAATGTTACAAAGTCAAGGTAAAATGACGAAAATAATGGCCGCAAACCAAGGCATACATATAGCTGAAGGTGATACTCAAGATTACGTGGTAAGTATTCAGGTGTGTATATTTTTGTATGCTGGTTTTTTTCTGCTTAACTGCTGTTTTTCTTAGTTGTTTACAATTCTTCGATTCATTCTTTGATGATGAGACATTGTATGATTTCATTACTTTATGCGTCACTGATATCAGTCAAGTAATGACGATTCTCTAAACAATTGTTGGATATTCGTAAATTTTGAACCAAAAACTTACCATTTAAAATCGATTGCGCTTCATTTGAAACAAATCAGATCAGTTTTCAACGATTCAAATAACACTTAAAATGGTCATTGATCTTCCCATTATATCTATCGCTTTCATCTAGTTGTTGTAGTTGCTGAAAAGTGATTACTCCAAATGGATCAATTCCTTCGGCTGATTATTAGTCATACTGACGGCCGCACAAAAAAAGATTTATTAGCTTTGCAGCTGCTAGCTTACTTGTTGTATAACACCATCATCACTACCATTCTATTAGAAGCATATCCTTACTTACTAGTTACCCCTTAGATAAATACTGAAATCTCATCGTATACATATTTAAGTCTTGTGCATTTATGTATGTATATGGTAATGTATTTGAAATGCCTCCTAACATTAATTATTAATAAATTGTACTTCTAACATGTCCACTTATTGCACTAATCAGATCAACGCTACTATTGTTACTAGATAACCGTACGAGCACTGCTATAGACTCTATTACTACTATATATCTCCACTTCTAATTTCTTTGCTAGTCTGACGACGACTACCTCTGTTCAAATTCTAATTTTGCTAAATGAGAAAATGTTTGATTCAAACGAAGCGGATAAGATGAAGACATAAATCAGTCATAAAAAATGCATCAGTTCAGAAAATGCATGTTCAAAATTTGAATACTCTTTCAATTAAGTTGCTTTGCGTTATCGGATCAATAAAGTTGTGAAACTAATTGCAGAATGTTCATGGAACAAACAATAACGGTTCGGCATATTATGATGGTAAAATTGGTGCATATCAAGAGGACAGCGAAGAGTTCAATGCAACCAATCCTTCAGATAGTCCTCACGAGTCAGGTCGGACAAATTTTTCCATTCGTTTTGTTTCTGTTTCCATTTATGCTTTTACTAGTTTACAATAGCCGTCCACCTCAATCATTCGTATTACGATTAAGTTGGTAAATGCGCATGAAGTTCTTGAATTGAGTATAGAATTTGGTTGCAATTTCATATTTTGATAGCAGTTTGTAACGTGATTTGTTGGTGGCGCGGAGGCAGCAGTCACATCAGTTGCGAATGAGTCCCTTTCAAGAACACGACGACGATCAAATAAACTAAATTGAACAATGCAAAGATGTGATTTAAATGTTTCAGTGTTAGATTTCAGGGCGGACGTCCACCAAGAAAAGCTCCCTCGACCGGCTGTCTCGAATTGTGGACAGTATCGCCGCGGAGGAGCAAGACGACGAGGGCGCCCCCTGCGACAGTGACACATCAGTGGTTTGAATTTGCAGTGGTCTGTTTGTCAGCATCACCATCAATATTCTAAAAGAAATTTGCTGATCATCAATTAACTGGATGCAATCGCATCGAATGTTTAAATTTTGACCGATTATTCGTATTCATTAAAATCATCAACCTCCATGTTATCAAATCTTTTGTGATATCTTTTTCTTTTTGTTTTTTGTCCTCATTATTAATCGCTTTTATTTCCTCCTCAAATAATTACGCTTCAACTCTTCAGTGGATGTTCCCAATCAATTAATATTTGTAATCATTCACTTTTGGTTGCGCTCAATAAAATCCAAAAAATCACTCAGCGACATGACCTACGGATCTCACCGTTGCAACGAATTCATCAACGAACAAAACCATTTTTGTCCACACACACACAATGAAGAAGCACTGATTTGATCGACACGTGAGAATAACTAGATGCTTGATTTAAAGAAAACACCAGAGAAATTAAAGCTGAATTAATGAATTGTTTCGTAGGAGTTTTTGCATCGTTTCTTTTTCTCCAAATATTACTCTATTATTGCTGTTGTTCGATGCCTTTATCGTTGAATGTGCCTAAATTTTAAATGAAATAATTGACGCTTATTTTTAAATCGAATAACTTATTTGTTCATTAATTGTTTATTTATTCATCTGTGTAAGTATTCGTAAGTTTATCTACTTATTTGTTCATATTCATGTGCATGAAATATACTTTATCTTTCTTAGTGTGAGTGTCTTGTTTATGTGCAAAAGAAAAAAAGCTTCGATTGTGCACTTGTTATTTAAATTGATTTTCAGTTCATTTTTATCATATTTTATGTATGGACCTGTTAGTTTGTCCGCTTATCTAATTTATTTGTACGATAAGGTGGCAATTTATTCACTGCAATTTGAGAAATTCGAACGTCTCAACTTTCAAAATGATTTTTTTTTTGTTGCGATCTAAGAACAATTCTGACAAAATTTCTAGCCAAGAAACCAGCTCAGAAGGTCACTGAATCAGCTTATTTTTTCGCCTAAGGCTTTCAAGTACTTTGCAGAGTTGGTGCCGTTTTTCAGCTTGATTTTTTTCGAGAATTTATACAAAGCTGGTGTTCAATCCAGAAGGGATATTTTTGGATTTTTCGGAGGGTAAGATCGTAAAAATTTCGAAGCTGATTCATTCACTTTGGCACCATAGGCGAAAAAGCAATTTGACTCAGTAACCTTTCAGACTAATTTTCTAAACCAAAATTTCGTATAGGTTGTTTACTGGTTCAACCAAAAGGTTTTTTCTGAGGAGTGAAGAACGCGATTTTTAGAATTTTGTATTTTCCCATGCGAATAATTGTCACCCTAATGCGCACATACAGGTTATATCCCATTATTAATGTTACCTTCATTTTTTTGTGGTCGTTGTATTTGTTCTGTATTTTCGTCGTGATCTACCAAGAACTTAGTGAATCTGTGAATGTGTAAAGTTTGAATTTTAAGGGAGTATCAATTTTGACGACAGTGAGCGTTTTTTTTTTTTGTATTCGTCATTTCTTCAATTTTCCGTTCTCTTTTCGTTAAGTTCTCCTCGCATATGATTCAATTGAATTTGTTGTTTTTGTTTTTTGCTCCTCAAAGACGGTATAAAATGATTTCAATTGTTTGTTCGTTCGTTTATCTTTTCACTCTTATCCTCATTCATTTAATTCGCTGCTCAACTTTCGAACTCAACTTTTTAGCCCTTCTTTTCAGTACGATTGGACGATGTAGTCATCTGTTGGTAGTCATCCTTCTAAGCCAGGATTTCTCAACCAGAGCTGCTCGCAACTCTTGAAGTGCGTGACAGCGTTTACATTAAAGTAGGCGAGGGTCAATTTCAATACATACATGTGTATAAAAGGACTCTAACGTGCATAGTTCTCAAAAGGATAGAAGATGTGTACTCTAATGTTGTACACATATCTCCACCATAAACACTCAGTGTAGTGGACGGGAGATACAGAGTGGATGTTGTGAGGACCGTGAGCAAATTTCAGTTTTCTAAGGGGAGCAGGCGAGAAAAAAAAACGGTTGCAAAATACAAACGGCTAAAATCACTTTATCAACAAAAAATTCAGATTGTGCGGCCAGAAACAATTTAAGTGATCTTTACGGACTCCAATTTGACAATCTTTCTCCTCCATGAGCGATACTTTTTGTTGGAAAGCTGCTCGATCGTTTTCTTGAAAGATCGGTGTAGTCAGAAACGGTACTCAACCACAAACGTCGTTCATCGAAATAGTGACCATCACATTTGAGGCTTACATTTAAAGTCATGCTCAAACCCATGAGGTTTTTACGGGCCTTCAGTTTGCACTTGTTCGTCGTCGAGTTGTTCGCAAACATTCCATAAACCTGTCGAAGTGTCGTGTTCTCGAAACCCTGATCATCTTACTACTATCTCATGGCTCGAACATACAAAAACTGACTGCAACAAACGCGTCTGCTTCAACTCTTCTTTTCTTTCCCAGAAATCAGTTCAATTCCGTTTAGCAATACAATAACTGACGAACAAATCATTCCGCTCGTATTGCGAATTGCTCGTTCAAAAATTCTTCATAACTGATTCATTCCATTGCTCATCCATACAATACATTCGATCATCACAGTTGTTATATGTGTCCAAATTTGAATGGCAATAATAATAGTAATAATAATAGTAATAGTAATAGTAATAATAATAATAACAGTGATAAAAACACTAACAATAATTACAACAAATTTTCTGCTAAAAGGACCCTAACCAACCTACCGTATATACAACGACAATAATCTGGTAAAATTGAATAGTACTCAGTGGTTTGCTCGTCGTCGTGGTCAACCTAACAAATGAATTGAAACCGACTGTAACCATTCGATTCGTTTCGATTCCATTCGATCGCAACAACGTAACGATCATTCGAAATTTGTATTTAAACGATAAGCGGTAAAACGTACGTATTGCATTCCCTTAACCTACTTGCTATACATGTAGCAATCATTGTTGCACTGAATGAATGAATCAATGGATAAATGAATGAAAATTTGATTCATTCATAAAATTATTGATTCTTTGCATTCAGATTATTTTTTGACAAAAAAACGAAATTGAATCGAATTGTACGAATTCTGTCGCCGACTATGGTGCCACAATAGCTACAATAATACGATGATGGTGATGATTCGTCGAAACCGTTGAAAAGTCAGTTAGTGTGACCAATTGTTGCAAGAAAAAATTCATTTCATTTCAGTACTCTCCGTTTCGTATCCTCTTCATTGTTTTTCGGTATTCGCTATGCTCCGCCCGTTATCACTCCAGACCTATCCAATTGTTCACCTATAAAAAGCATTTACTTGCTTTAGGCTTCTTCAAATTCCCTTCCAACAGTGCCATAGTAGTCAATCGCGACTTTCACAGTGAATCAAAGCTGGTTGACACTGAACCACAGTGAGCGGATCTGAACAAGGTGATAATCCCTCTTTTTTGATCAGAACCAGTGTCACTGATAATTTTGTCACGTTGAAATTGTTGAAATTTGATTTGATTTTATGTACCATCTGATCCACCACGTCAGTACTTCTATGTGGCAGCTCGTTTTCATTCTGATTTTAAAATAACTCAACAAAGATTGATTTTAAACTAACGATTAACTCAAATTGAATTGTTAGCGTTCCTTTACAAATGCATAGATATTTGTACTATGAACATGAACAGTCACCAAGCTGCCTTTTCGCTTTGATCACATTTATCTGATGAATGAACAGACGAATCTTCTTTTGATCATCTTTACAAAACAATTTATCGCTTATTCATACATCAATGTATCAGATAGTGTTGTTGAAAATTGCACCGTTCAGATAATAAGACAACACCACAACGACGATGATGATGACGACCACATTATCACATCATGGCTTCATTATTCTTCTTCTAATTGCTTCGTTTATTCACAAAACATGTTCAGGTAATAACTGAAACGGAACCATTGCTTGAACTTCATAAAAACTCAGTCGGTAAACTTGAACGTATTTGTGACCGTTTCACATTTGTTGATTACAGATGAACTACCACCCCCAACGGATGTGAAAGATGGCAATGCACGCGACTCAGAGGTAATAAATACTGTATGATGCAACAACTAATCCATTCATCATTAATTAGCACCTATGCGCACTCATTCGATATCACTAGTTTTAATTTACAAATGACTCAGCGATAAGTGCAATATATGTTTCATAAAGATTATCACAACATTCTTTGGTTGAATTCTGAAGAAATTTAGACACAGAAACGCGGCAGTGATGCAAATGAAATGGCGCCGGCACTTACGGCCAATCTAACTGACACATTGGAGAAAGTTAACGCGAATCTCAAAGATCTGCTCAAATGCTGTAAACAGTTTTGTGATGATGAAGAACGAAAAATTAATCCGGTACATGAAATCGGTTGATCACGAAATGACTGATTCAGTGATTGATGAATTTGAATTCATTCGGCTATTTTCTGGAAATGAAAGAATTTCCTTTTCAAGAAGACTTCGTCGTTCGAGAAAGAATCCGAAATTCTCGAAAACACCAGCAATTTCTAAAACCTCATTTTTACATTCTAATAACTATTACTTTCGAAAAACGGATTTCTGGAAAATCTCAAAAATTTTTTTGTTTCATTTATTCATTCATTTCCTATTGTTAGCCTCATTTTATTCCAATAATGCGCTATTTGGTTCACCACTTGTTGAATTTAGTGTTGTTGCCAGTCCACTCAGTTACATCAGTGCTGTTGTATGGGATCATCAGCAATGGTAGGTACACATGTTCAATCATTTTGAATGCTATAGTCAAGTGTTAATGCTACTTTTGAGAACGAGACTATATGTTTTTGCTCAATCGAACAGCACCAGTGAAAAAATACAACGACAAGCATGCAGATATACAGAAAGAACACTGAAAAGAAATGACTCGTTCCCATTTCTGTTTCAATGACCAATCGTTCGTTGCTCACTCGTAAAATCATTCGATGATGCTTTTTGTTCAACAAACCAAAAGAATGTCCAAAATGCTTGTGAAAGGACGAAACGAAAACGAATACAAATAACTTGCGTATAATAATGAACGAAGGATTTGTCATGTATTTTTTCGGTTATTCATTTGTATGAGTATTTTTTACTACCCTACAGTAGTGGCAATGATTACGATAGTATTAAGCTACAACAGCACTAATGACCAGATGTATAATAGATGAATTTTTGTTTCATAAGAAAAACTTCGACGAAATCGTTCCGAATTGTTACATACTGAGCGATCGTATAAATGTCATGATCAACTTTATCGTATTCCTTTTTGATCTGTTACTTTCTAAAGCAAGGCAAATAGATAGATGCACGAACGACTATCTAGCTGTGAACGTGCGATTAGTAAGAATAATCTTTTGAAAAATGTAACATTACGAGAGCAAACAAACAAATGAATGAATGAATGAACGAATAAAATTCATAAATTGGCATGTTACAAGCGGAGCAAAATCTGACGAATAAATTTGAAGAAAGAAAGTCGGCATAACGTATATTGAGGTATCATTCTTTTCGAATCATCGAATAAGCTGTGAGAAAAATGTACATTAGCAAATATCAAATTGTCACTTAATCGACAGAGAAAGTGTTCGATGTTGAGGACGATAATTACATCAAATAACCGACTTTGTTTCACGAATTCAGTCATAGATATCTGTGACAGAGAGGTGTTCAGTAGAATTGCACAAAAATGATGAGGAGGAGAACGAGCTGCATAACTTTAACATGAATCGATTTCGGTTGAAATTTTCATCCTAAACTTGCCATACCACTTGCCTAGTACCCGCTTTTGTTGGCTGAAATTTTCTGAGGAGTCAAATGATGGCTATACCAAATTTTCAGGTTAACTGTGCACAGAATACACCATCAGACGTGGTCATACAACAGTTACCGTTGAACGGCAAAGAACCAGTACTACTCACTTACTATCCTGATCCTGATACAGATAACGACCAAACCTGGCATCCATTATTGACCGTTGAGCCCGAAAACGGCGGGCAAGTAACAATACCAATGGTGACAACGACACCAGAAACTTCAGAAAGAAAGTGTGTGATCGAAAAGAATCGATATATCGTAATGCATAAACGCTGAATACCCAAAAAATGCACATCTTATAGTATGCTTAATCAACACCAATACGTGTTGGTCGTATTGTTGACTTGAAAGGTTACTAACAGGCAAAAACAATCACTCGTTGGCTCGTATTTTACTTGAAGAATTTTTGCATTATCTTTTGCAGAATGACCAAATGAAAGAAAAAACGATGAATGATTCGAAAATACACATAAAATCTCGTTTACGAATGAAAAATGTCTTAACTTTTGTTCCCATCAGCTAACTTGTTAAAGTGAACACATAACAAGCAGTTCAAAACGTAAAGTTCAGGATGCTTGTACTGCTTTTACCCATTCGACAATGCGTCTACTGTCCATGTATGACACAGCAAGATTCGTCATGTCCCATCGTCCCACTGCAGACGTGCCCTTGTCCAAGTGACTTCATCGATAGCATATGGCAAGCACCAATCCAAACGACCGCTATTCAACAATCACCACTTCTTCTACAGTGCCCACTTTCAAGCGATCAGTTACCCACCCAACATTGTGAGTTTTCTGCGTCCTCTTCTTTTCCTCCTTATCGAATTCTTAAGATTTTACATTCAGTGAAGTTCCCTTTATACGGAAGTTTGGACTGTTGTCTCAGATGTTACAGACGGTAACGAAAATGTTTTCCAGAAAAAACATTGATACCATTTTAGTTTTCATAACAGCAAATGGTAACGATGTTGGTGCTTATCACGGTAAACGCCATCGGTTCTCTACTGCAACGAACAAACAAATCCCAGGTTGCAAAGATTAAGTCCTTGCTACTCTAGCTTTCACTTTGATTCATGAACCGTCTTTTCGTTGTTAGTTTTTACGATGAAACTAAAGAATAATAATTGTGAACAATGAGCAAAAGACTTCAAGCAATATGATTTGATGCTGACTGTTAATTGCATCGTTACAGTTTATACGATATCGCAATTAAAAAATAACTTACAAAATTTTGGTTTATTAACACCGATAACAACACAAACAAATGGTTATGGACGAACAGGTGCAAATCTTGAACTAAACAAGTATTTGAATGGATATACAAGAATGCGTTCACCACCAGGCTTTATTGGTAAGATTTTTTTTCGTTCACAAAGCCAAAAACAAGTTTTGAACTTTCCTGGTTCCTACTGGTGATGAGAGTGAATTATTGGATATTTGTTTTCAGATGGAGCAATTTTCAAAAGACGATATGGATGGAAAAGAAGAGTGAGGCGCGCTTCGTGTATGTTTTCTTAAATTCATACTTTGTTCACATATTCTGAATGAGCAACAGTAGTTTTGGTGAACCAGAAGATGGTGATTGAAGCATGGAGTTGTTCAATAAATTATACGGCCCAAATAACGAGGGCCCAACTGAATTGCTGCAGGCTTCAACTGAAATAGCATCAACTCTCTAATGAACCAACGCACTGTGCTCAACATTTATCGATAAGTTAACGAAGACTTAGCGATAAATGAATGTGATGCGAATAAGTTCATGTGCATGAATCAGTTGATATTCTAAGTGTTCAACAGGCTGTCAAACCTTCATAAGAGGTTAATTGCAGACGATGATATTGGTGCGGCATTAAGAGATGGCCAACCGCTAGCGATTGAAATCGACGAAAATGATAGAGAAACACTGCAAGAAGTTTTATCGCTGGGTTTTGTTGAATCGCAAAAAATCAACGAGAATATCGCTTGTGGTGGTGATAAGATGGCCACTTTACCATATCCAATTATCGGCAACAATTACAATCAACAACCAATAATTCATCGAGCAACATCTTCGCTCGATAACGTTGGCCTAGTGAACTTGCTTCCAGCTCCATCCTCATTCAGCATCGATCTTGTAAACGTTTACCGCAATCGCTTCCACAGCATCCATCTTTTTTTTTTCAAAGCGCATGCAGTTAAACGCTTTCCGTCAAATTATGCTAAAAACACACCGTTTCGTTGAACTTGAAATTGATTGATTCGATAGACTGCCAGTTGGTCTTTTCAGCCAGTTTCGAACAGCTATCAACAACCGCACACAATCTCATCCAGTTTCTCCATTCCCTCATTACAACAAACTTCGCTTGACATACCATTCAGTGGTTACACTCAGAATCTGGTAGGTATCCAGAGCATCTGTCTTTATTTGATGATTACAACGATGAACCTGAAAAGAATCATATTTTCCATAAACACTATCGGATTCAATAAGTTTTAGCTTGCAATAAACCCTCTGAGATAACAGCAAAATGAACCAATTAGAACAGTGTTTCTTCAAACTGAAAAATTATCCATCACAATTTTAGCGTAAACAACAAAAACGAGCATTCATTGCTCAAATACACATCCCCTATTCACTCAAAACGAAGCACTGAAAACGCAATCGAATTTGCAGCAACCCTTATCAGCTCAACATAACTCATTATCAACGTCACCAGTAGCAGTATCACCTTCTGACTCTGATCGACCAACAATTCCATTTGATCAATTTCGTGCTCAGTTCTTTCGACAAGACACTCAACAGATGTCTCCAAATTCACAACAACAACAACAACTTCAACAGATTGTACCACCACAACATTTTGCATCATCAAATCAACCATCGTCTGATCAACCAAACTGGCTGCCCAACCAAAATCAACTTCATGAAAATGATGTCAATTCCTTATCACGTCATCATTATCAGCAGCAACCGTCTTTACCTTCCTCTTCATTATTATTTTCCCAACAACAGCCTGACAAAAACAGTCAAAAACCTCTTGCAATCGATAGTCTACAGTCATCAATTGTCGACCTATCGAATGCTAAAAATCAACGTAACGAGCGATTACAACAACAACAAAACGAAAACAATATCATTAAGGTTATTCAGTAGTTAAGTAACTCTGGTTTGTGGATGAACAAGAAATGATTTATTGCCAGTAAAGTCACAGCGTGAGCTAGGTAAAGCTCACCGAAATCTCATGGCTTCATTCGGGTGCACGTCATCCAAACAGACTAAAAATCTTACGCTCGAATGAAGGAAATAGCGAGTAGCAAAAGAGTTCAAAAATTCAAAACGCAACATTAGCATGCTCATCCGAATCGTTTCCTTCGATTTCTTTCGCAAGAATTCCTCCGAAAATATACACGCTCTGCTTTCGGAAACTAACACAAGTCATTATAAACGAAACATAATAAATCCCGCAACAATACAAATTGTGTTTATGAGCCAATCGAACAAATTCATTCAATCACTATGATCATAATCAGAGGGAGGCAATTCGATCAGAGCAAATCAAAAACAATATTCATTCTGATGTTTAATCGCTTAAGTGTCATTTATACTTCAGTTATATGGCGCAATTGAAAACATGTAAAATGAACCAAAAAGCATTTTATTATAAGCCTCGGAAGACATGCTCAGCGAACGTTTATGCTTGTTTTATTCATTTGGCTCAGGAAATTCTCACAAAACGATAAGATTAGTATACCTTTCATGAATGGTCTCGATTTAGTCCATTCTCGACTGGGGATACATTAGGTCATTCAACTTCTACTCATCCACCTAAATGAATTTGTCATTTTCTGCACAACCTGACACTGTTGATGGATCAATAAGAAATTTAGCATCAGTAATTTTCATCAAGAGAATGCGAGACAGATAGTTATGCAGATATTTCGATACTTCTAACAGTAATGAAATTTTTTCAGAATAGCGCCTCTACAAAACAACCTGACTACATTTATCACGTTGCTTATAACGGTGATCGCTTTGGTGCCACAAATGCGGTGACGAACGCTCAACACCGTACATCAACAATAATGACAGTTCAGCAATCACTCATATTCACAGCATTTTACTTGATAATCTCAACGATCCGAGGACATTTCTGAGCACAGAAACAGCTATACGAAGCCAACAACTGACATAATTCGTCAAAGAACAAATCCTCTCAAAGTGACAACATTAATATTTGAAAATATTGTTGTTGGTGATTGTTTCCGATATAAGCGCAATTTATCAAATGATTCTCATTCTTCTATCATTCAAAAATTTACTTTCCGTATTTTTTTGCCAATTTTTTTATTATAAACAATATCGTTACTGTTAAATTCGTTCATAACGACAATACATTAACTTTGCTTATATTGTTCCCCTGATGACCTGTTGATTTTGATGAATCGCTCAATGCCATACTATAATTTCACTAAAAATTCTATGATGTATACTCGTATTATACAATACAACTCCAAAATAAGATGATACCATCTTGCTTAGTATCAACAACTGAAAATTTTATTGAGAAGACAATAATAACGATGATAATCGTAATAACAATGTGGATTCATAGGTCATTGATTAGCGAGAATTAAGAATGCTTGAACAACCAGCAACAAAATGGTCAGGCACTTCGGTGAACAAATCAAAAACAAACGAACAAACAACGAATCCATCCGTGCAATAATGATCAGTTATCATCAATATCATTCTACTCTAATATCACAACGCATGACGATGACGCATGAAGAGATGGATAGAGAAATACATAAAGAAACTTTATGAATAAATGGAAAAAATTCAAATCTGATAACATTACGTATGCTAAAAACTTACGAAACGTAACAAATATTCGACGAAATTAGTTATAAAATGAAAGTTGAGTAAATGATTAAATAAATCAACGATTGAAACTTAATCAGATAGATAAATTAAAACAGGCAAACTAACAAGTAGATAAATTTTAAAAATAACTCAATCAGTATATTTAATTAATAAATAAATACTATGTAAATGAATTACGATTTCCATGACGATACCGAATCACGTAGTATGGCCGACCGCTTTTAAGGTGTTCAATCAGTTTTATAAAAAAATTCAAAATCCACAAAAAATCGTCAAATTTACATATTGTTTTTCAGAAATAGTTCCCTAATCCTAAGCACAAACAATAAAATAAGAATAGTTATGACTGCTGAAAATAATGCGAAAAACTGAACGCAGTACGTGAACAATTCAAACTGTTTGTTATTGCTTGAGTACGTGCCTAATCGACAGCAATTCTAGTAAATAGCAATCAAGCGAGCAAGCAAACCATTCACTGATCATTATCAAATTGAACAAGTGATAATAGCGATAACAATAATAACAATGATGATAATAATAATAACAATAATAATAAATAAATAAATAAATATTAATGATAATAGCCATAATCATAATAACAATAAGAATAACAATAATAACTTAAGATAAAATTGAAATAAGGCCCCAAAAAGTGCACAGTGGCGATCATAATCGGTCACAATTCATCAAAACGTAAAACTTATTACATTACGAATATGTAATTTAGAAAAACAACTGAATTAATGACGAACACAATGCAACCAGAAGACTACTAGAAACGAAAAGTGATCGCGTCATTGGATGAAACAAAAATGAAGACAGAAAGAAGTGCGATGGCAGAAACGAGGCAAACAAAACGGTAAGAATCAACTCAAAGATCAGTGCAAAAATAAAACCTAATTATGAAAACGTGTAGCAAACGATCAATTGCACCGTTCGTATTCAGCGCAGCACGAATGACAATTTACTCATTTCAAAAACTGACAAAAACGAAACAAAAAAAACGAACATTAAAAATCAACTGACCAATCCAATCCAATCAATCAAATAACAAAACGAAAATATAAATGAACATAACGAAAATTTCAATAAATAACATTCAGCTGCTTAATGTTTTGAAAATAACGCTCTACCGCCCATAACATCCACTTCTTTCGTTGATCATCAACCCAAAATCAGACTTCACACCTATGTGATATTCGATCGGAAATGATCGAAGCTCATTTATTCTGATATTAGCACCACAAACACCAGTAGTATTTGTCGCCCGTTTACCTATTCACCTCGTTTCATCAATCAATTATCTATCTATCCTTTAAGTAAACCGTTTCTCCTTCTCCACCTATCATTGGAGAGCATGAAAATTAAACGAAAATATAATCATTCTAATAATGATAATAAAAATAAAAAAAATAATAATAATGATTATGATGATAACATCCAAAACAAAATACAATGAACGATAAATAGATGAATGAGTAAACGAACAAGTCAAGTCAATTCATTCATTTGATTGTCGGATAAAAACCGAAATAAAAAATGAATGAAAAATAATAATGAAACGATGATCAGGTCAGCGATAAAAATTTGAAAGGACGATTAGAAAAAAAAAGAAAACTTTTTAAGGACAACAATAATCACAGATTTTTAAAGGTGAAGTTATTGATTGATTTTGTTTGTTGATTTGTTTACTGAGTTGTTCGTTTGTTTGCGTTCATGAGAGTGAGTGTGCGTGTGTGTGATATGATGAACTGATAAAATGATAATGATTGTCTTCTTAACCAATTATAAGTCAAATGTTGACAACGGTTGTATCAAATAATATCTCATTTCATATCAATTCAATTCAAAAACGACGTACACCTCCCCACGCTCCAGTACCGGTAGCATTTGCATTTGCAGCTGCTGCACTACTCATTGACGGGAACTGATCCTCAGATTGCATATCGAGTTGCCACGGGGCACCCTCGATTTTCACCTGAGGTATTTTCGCTTGTGGAGCTGGTTCTTGAACGCGTTGTGATAAATATTGACCACGGTCATTACGTTCCTGAATTGACGTACATTGTTGTAAAAAAGAAAACCGAAATAAACATTACAATATTGCTGGTGTTTTCGCTGGAATCCGGACATTTTCAATTTTTTGCGTCCAGATTCCTTCTTCATACACAAATAAAACTGCTACATACTAAATTGTTGTTAGTGCTAATGCAATCATCTCTCAGTATGGAAAGATCTGATTTTCAAGAATACGTGAATAATATTGTAGAAAATAAACATTCTCCAACTAGGAGAGAATATTTTAAAGAATATACCTCAAGATAATCTTCTTCCTGTGCTCTCAAATAATCGATACAGTCATAAACGGCATCTTCGGTCTTGCCTGCCACTACAACCAAATTCGGGTCCGGATCGTTGGTTCGTGGAAAGCGTATTTCCACGTGAAACTCGTCCATCACCTGAATGATGGCACGAGTTTTATTCTCTTCACTAGATTGCGAACAGTGAATAAACACACTTTGTTTTCCGATCAAAAAAATATGTGCTTTTTCATATCCATGATCCAGCTGGATGAATTCAGAGTAAATCAGCTAGACAATAATCAAATAACCAACTTTCTTGACATTTCTTCCTTTTTGACCAATGAGACGCGGATGGAAGCTAGCGTTGAGACTAATCTCTTGCGTAAACAATGACTGCACTTCACCAATCATCGCTTCCATTTCTTCCTTACATGCCTCACAATTTTTCTCGTATCCTTAATTGCAATTCATCAATTATTTCAAAAAATGAATGTCGAGTCAAATCAACCGATCGATACCTCACCTCAAGCAGTAATCGACAACTGAAACAACCAATTATCTATTTTACTACCTACCAGTGATGACGATCGTATCTGGCGGATCCTCGCCTCGCGGGAATGCAATCTGCACTTCATGCTTCTTTCCCAGTTCCTTAACCACTTTACCACGAACACCAATTAGACGTGTATGATATTCGTGCGGTATGTCTACGCTCAACTTGAAAGAACGTAACTTCTGCAAAATACAGCACAACTTTACCAATTACCCAAATGCACACCTAATCACAGTGCCGAACGAATATTAATCTAATACCAACATTAATCTGTCATAAAAATTTCGTTTAATTTCAGATTAATTCAACACATGACATGAATGAGTATTATATCACATCTATCACTCACGCGATTTTCTGCCGCCTCCTCGGATTCAGCCACTCTTTTGAGAATATCCGCGACAGCCTCTTCAACGTTCTCAGCTTGACCCGTCACCTGGATCTCATCTAGGTGTTTCTCTTCACTCGGTATTGATATATTCACATCGTACGCTTGCATCAACGAACGCACCGTTTCACCCTTTGCACCAATCAAGCTACGATGGTGTTCGAATGCAACATGTACCTACAATGAATAACCATTCAATCACAGTCTCTACTTGTCTCTTCACGAACCTGTTTCGTGATCGGCACAAGCGCAAGCAATGCTTGCTTCGCTTCCTCGCATTTCGTGTCACGTCCACTCAGATGGATCACGTCGAGCGGTGATGCGTGGTGTTCACCACCTGTGTGTGCATCATCCAACGCATTTGCACTCTGCTCATCATCATGTTGTTGTTGCTGTTGCTCAACTGCAGCTTCTTCTCGTAGTCGACGATCCGGAAATTTGATTTGTACGTTATATTTCGCGCAAATCTCTTGCACTTTCTGACCACGATTCGACAGCAATGCACGATGATGAATCGACGGAATCTCAACCGCAATTGTCACTTGCGCTTCCTACAATAACACGATGATCAGTTCGGATCGAATTTCAAATGAACAATGGAAACGGAAGAAAACCAAAAAAAACATAATCCAATCTGCTTGAATCACTCACCAAATCCTCAACAATTTCTTCGATCCTCGCTTTTGCACTTTCCACACACTGCTTGCTGCCTTTGATTGTCACTTTGGTGTCGTTCGATCCGGCACGTGGGAACGATATAATCACACCGCCGTTTTGCTCCTGAATCTCGCGTAAGATGGCTGCGCCGCGAATCACAAAGTGACGATGATACTTCGGTGGAACGTCCATCTTTATTTCCACTGTTTCGTTCTGAATTATTTTCGGTGAATTATTGCGCGCTTGATGCCTTCAAACCAGATGTGCATTTTGACCAGCAACTGCTGTTCACCATTATTTGAGCACATTAAAAAAACTATTGCTAAAGGAAATTTTTCTGACTCAACAAAAATTTCTTCTGACGAGAAGAACTGAACAAAAGGTGGAACAATTTACCAATTCACTGATCATTGCCTCTAACTGCTTCTTGACAACAGCCACTTCCTCTTTTTTACCGATCAAATGAATTGTCTCTTTATCCGTATCGGTTTCGCGTGGAAACAGAATGCGAACATCGGAATATTTTTCACGAATCTGAAATAAGAACTCAAAATTCCTCACAGGTTTCCCATCACAACAAAGTAACAGAAGGCAGAATATATACACAAATACATACATATATATATATATTATATATATATGTATGTATTTGTGTATATAT